AAGCCCCTTCCTCAATGACATCAAGCATCCTATGAATGAAGTTGGGCGCAAGCATGAAGAGTAAGAACAAATCATTGATATAGATATAAAAAGAGAAATGTGTGTGTATATATATATATATATATATATATATATATATATATTCATAAAAAGGCATTTCTTAATATATTAGCATTATTGAAAGTGAGAAATGTGTATTTTAACATGAAAGAATATGCAATATGTGTATCTTTTAGAAAATAATAAATATAAATAATATGCTGATAATAATTATTTTTAACAGAAGTTAACATAAGGCAAAAATATACTTTTCGTCCCTTATATTATTTATTAGATTCAATTTAGTCTCACTTTAATTAATTGAATCAATTTAGTCCCATATTTTTAAAATGTATCTCAATGTTTAATTTTTCGTTTCCTTCATTTAAATACTTAGAGCAACTCCAATGGGAGTTGCTTGTTCCATGAAGCAACTCAAAGCTCCGGTTTCTTACCATTAGAGAACTCTAACATGGCAACATGAGTTGTTTGAAGAAGAGAGAGAGTTGCTTCTTCAAGTAACCGTTCCTTACCAAATTTCGAGCAGATCTTATTAAACATATTTGAGAACGTTTCGAAAATAATAATGATGAAAATTAATTTCGTATAATATTTATGTTTTACTATTGCTTTTTTATTTTTAATATCTACTTATTGTGTATTTTTTCTCGTAATTTTTTTTATTGTAGTGCAATTATCCTTTATAATAAATATTTAAATTTGGTTCATAAATGATTAGAAAAAAAATTCTAAAAGTTGAATTTCTTAAAGTTTCTTACTATTAGAGTAAATTTGTGTTTAAGTTGCTTAATACTGATATGACACACTAGAGACTACTTTTTTCATTTTTCAATGCATGAAACAACTCAAATGAGTTACTTCTATTAGAGATGTCCTTAACGGATATAACATGTATCATGTTATGTGACATGACATCATGATACATAACATGATATTATGACATAATACGTGACATGACATCATGACACGTGCTATAATAACATGACACGTGTCATGACAACATGAAGAAGAGTGTACTTGACAGAAAAATGTATTTTTACCATAACATTATCAAAGGCAACAGAAAATAACAAAACAAACAAATATTGCAAAAAAAAGAAGTAGCAAACACAAATAACAGTAGTAGAGTAGAAGAGTACTGTACTTGTAACTTCGAGGCCATTGCTGAGAAGTGAAAGAGTGACGACGGTGCGTTGTATCATTTCCCTCGTCATCATCACTGCTACTTTCACTCTCTATCGTTAACTTTGCACTTTCAATATCTTGTTGTGCACTTTCGTTGAAATCATCCTCGAAGAAAAACTCAAGGTCTTTCTCCTTCTTGTTGCTCTTGTTCGTGTTACAAACCATTGTTGCAACACCAGCCGCAAACGTAAAACTCGGGACCTCTTTTTCCACTGCAATCAATACAGAGCATCTATATAAAACGACAATTGCCAAAACAAAACAAAATCTCTGTATAACGACAGCGTGGGACATTTGCTAGCAACTTGACAAAAGCAGTGTCGTTGAAACTTCTAGGTCTACCACATGATATACTGCTATTACAAGAGTTTATCAATAATTTTATTTCGGCACATATCATGCCACGTCTACTAATAACCATGCAATTTTGATAAATGAAATCATATCAGTCATCACTTTTGTCCTCCTAATTCTGTAGATTCCTTATATAGCCTTGCTAAATTATAAATAATAAGCACTATATCATACTTAATTAAAAATCATGAAATTTCTAACAAAATGTGAAATGAGATAAGGAAAACATGAGTAAAAAAACAATAGTTTTCATTGTATAGTAAAGTGCCGAACACTGTTATAAATTGTCGGCTTTGAACCTGGGACTGAATGAGTTAAAAGAAAGAAAATTGCGCGGCTGCAAAAGTTTGAAAGTTGAATGAGACGAAAGCAGATGGATAAGGATCGACAGAACTTGAAGGCAAGAAGCCAATTTTTTCTTCTTCTTTTTAATCGTGAGAATGGTGGGCACTACTGATATAAAAAAATAAAAAAAAATGGATATGCTCATATTTTAATCTCTTATTTATTTATTTTTCTCTCCCAAAATACTTTTTCCCTTACTTTAATTTTTATTTATTATAATACTATTTTTTCATATTTTAAAAGATCTTGATAATTTTAAAAAAATTGTTGAAGTAATATTTTTAATTTTTTTTTCTATAATCAATTATTACTAATTAAAAAAGGTTATGAATCGCATGTCAATATCATGAAAATAAGATACTTATCCCAATAATTAAGTCTTAACAGAGTTACTGTACTTAATATTTTTTTATTTATATTAAATTTTAATAATTTAATTATTAAATTATAAAAAAATTTAGTGAATTCATCAAATTTATAAATTTTTACAAAAATTTAAAAATACGTCATTACATTAATTCAAATGGACATATATTTTTAAAAACATACTATACATTAATTTTAATTTATGTATAAAATCATCATATAATTTTTAAATTTTGTAAAAATTTATAAATTTAATATATTTATCAAAGACTTTAAATTTAACAATTATATTGTTGAAATTCAATGTAAATAGCAAGTTATTGAATATATGATTCTGTCACGATTTACTTTAAAAGTAAACGAATCTCTTATCTTTTTCTTAATATATTTTTTTATAAACAAATACATATTCAAATTTACATTAAAATGGTAGTAATACATGCAAATATACAGTATGGTGCTAGTACACATTTAAAAGAACGAAAAGAAATAAGAATATATAATAGAAATAAAGAAAAATTTATTGTCTAAATTTTGTATTTTAATTAATAATTTAAGAATAAATTAATTAAAAATAAAATTAAGAAATAATGTGAACGTACTAAAATAAGTAAAAGAGGAGAAATAGAGAAAAAAGTATATTGTATATAGTGCGGTGAACTCGTTGAAAAATGGGATAAATTGTCGACAATTTATGAACCTGGGACTAAAAAAGTGAAAGGAAAACAAAGTAATAATATGCGAATATTTTTATATATCACATATTATATTAATATTTATTATCATGACTTGAACAGGTCTTTTTAAAATTAATAAACAGTTATATAATGTCAAAATTAGTAATTTTAAATTTTGAAAAATGAAAATAAACAAATATTTTTGAAATGTAAAATAAAACTTTATTTATTTTATAAAGTTAAAATAAATAATTTCAAATATTTTTTTATAGTGGTTACATTGAGGTTTGAATTAGAAATTTGTACATGTTATTTCAATTCTCCACTATTAAATCAATTTTAATAATATAATGATTTCTTTTAAAATTAAAATATATTTTTATGTTATGGATATTAATATCATATTTAAGTTTATTACTTTATTGATGCTTAATTATTAAAAATCAATGTGACCGAAAGATTGATGTAAAGAAAAAATATTAGAAAGATTGATGTATCAAATATTTTTTACTACGTAAAAAGAAAATCAGATTCTTTCCAATTCAAATAATATTTCAAATATAGTAAGAAATTTTATTATAAATATTCTAAAAAATAAAATAAAATAAAATTTTTAATTAAAGAATGAAATACTATTTTTTATTATATTAAATGATATAAATAAAAAGAAAAAAAATCTCATAATCTTTTAATTTAATTAAGAATTATATTGTATTTAGAAATATCTTTATAAATGTGATTCATATTATAAAATTGGTGAATGTAGAAGCGATCATTAAGAATATTCCCTATAAGAGTTGTTTGAATATAAAACACTTGTGCGGTTGCAAAGGCAGGAGAAAGATGAATGAAACTATGAAAGGGATGAGAGACTAATGTGGCGACGAAAGATGGATAAGAAGACTTGAAAGTTGAATGATTCATGAATCATAATAGTGACAGGACAATGGAATTTGTTTTTTTTTAATGAATCGCCATTAATATATGTTATTTTAAGGAAAATATAAAAAATAAATAAATAAAACCTGAGATAGAATCGGAAATCAATTATGTGCATGGAAGGTCTAACAACTGTTTGTTAAAATTCTACTTATAATAAATCGTACAAAATTATATTATTTTGAAAATATTTATTTTATGCCAATAAAAATAGAATTTTCATAATTATTTTTCTTAAATTTTATGATAAAAATATTTTTGTTTATTTTTGTTTTATTCTAAAGAACATACTTTCAAATTAAAATTTGGAAAGATAGTTTTAAAAAAATTGGTTTTATTTTTACGGAGAAGAAATAACTCAAAATATATTTTTTTTATATTTATGAGAAAAAAAAACTGATATGAACTCTATTTGTTGTTTGAGAAAAGATATTGAAAATAACTTTTTTTAAAAAATAATATAACATAATAGTTAAATCTATCAATTAACTAATTATTAAATCCTTATAATCTAAATAAAGTTAAAAATAATAACTACTATTCAGTTAGTTATTGCATGTTTGATCAAATTTTATTTTTATCTTTCAAACTAAATATTTTATTGAAAAAATAATCCATAATCGTAACAATATTTATGATAATGATTATTCATAAACTCTTCAAAAGACATCTAGCGTAACATTTATTAACTCAATCAATTTGAAACAATGTACACCCTTATATCAATCACAGATATAAGGATGAAGAAAGAAACAAAGGTTGTCAACAAATTCAATTTTCAACAAAGGCCTTAATGATGAAATACAAATTTAATCAATAGAGAATAATACAAAAAAATAACACACCTTATATATCTATCATCGAATGTTACGGTGTTACATAAATTTTCATTTAATCATTTATTATTAAAAAAAAAGAGAGAGAGAATGAAAATAATCATAAGATGATAAAAAAAATACAAAAGAATAAAAACTAAATAAATGAATTGGTGAAAAGAAAAAAGTGTCAATAATGTATCTAATTTAAATTGATAGTGTTTTTATTTGTTGTTCATCAAAATTCACACATATCTTTATATTAATATAATATTATTTATTTTGAATATAAATTATATATATATTTTTTATTTCTAATAATATGGAACTTTAATCGTATCAAAGAGTTCAACATGTATCGAACACATTAAGAAACCAAATGTTATGTATTAGAAATCAAAATATATTGAACACGTTAAACTAAAAGAAGAATAGCAGCGCCTCATGCGTATTTGATTGATCTAGAATCAAGAATCAAGAATAGAAATATGCACAATAAGGTTAAAACATTAACGAAAGAAAACGAAAACCTTGGAATGAATCAGATCGCTTAGGAGTGTGTGGTGGCTTGGAAGCAGTCCCTCTTTAATTTGGGAGAAATGTTGCCTCTGTAAATTTCTGCGCTATGAGCTTTTTCTTCAAATATTTTTCGTCTCCTGCCAGTAACCAGTCCTCCCATCTAAGTAGCAGTAGTTCCTCTTTTATAGCAAAACTCAACAATCTCATCTATTTGTGACTCTTTTTTTTTTTAACAAATTCATCTGATATTGACTCATTTAATCATTTTCACCTTTTCTATTAAGTAATTATTCCGATTTTTTTATTTTTTATTTTTATTTTTATTTTTTTAATCATATAGCTAGGTATTCTAGTCCATTAGTTCAATGACTAATCTCACAATAAATAATTTATATTATAATATAATATTATTTTATTTATTGATAATTTATTTTAAAATATTAAAATTTAATTCATAATATAAGATATTAAAAAAATCTCTAAAAATCCTTTCATCAAAAAAATTTTCATAAAATTGCTACCGTATAAGATAAAGATTCATGTTTAATATATAGAAGTTTATTTTTTTTTATGAAAAATATTTTAGAGATTTTTTAACTCATCTAATTTAATTTTTATTTATTATATTTATTTATAAATTAAATTTTAATACTTTTAAGATAAATTATTAATAATTAAAAATAATATTTAATCACAATATATAAATTACTTATCATAAACTTAAAATATAATTTAAATATTAAAAAAAATATTTATTTATACATAATTTAAATATATTTTATATTTATATATATATATATAATTTATTTTAATCTTTAATTATATATAATAAATATTTAACCTAAAATACTATAAAATTGGTTATCTACTTATTGCATCTTCGAAGGTTTTAAAAAATGAAATAAGTTTAGTCATAACAAAATACAATCCAAAAAAAGCGATCTAATTATTTAAAACGTATAATAGTAAAAAAAAAAAATATTAAAGGACAAAATTCTGAAACGTTTTTCTTTTCTATTAATAATTTAATATCTCTATAGAAACTAAACACATATAATAAGCCAAAAAAGATAGAAAAATATATTGATTGGGAAAAATATTTTTAAAAATACAGAATTGTTCTTTTTGAAAAGAAAATTGTTAATTATTATTTGTATACTTTGAATTCAAATTGTAATTTTTGTATACCTGTTTAAGAATATTTTATTTATTTTTCTATAATCTATAACTATTTATTTTGGTTTTCACAATATTATTTCATAGCTTCAAAATTTATTCTTATTTCATAATATTCGGTGAAAATAAGATAGATGTAAATAATCTTCTTTAAATTTGTTAACATTGCTATTCCTTTTTTTCTTTGAGTTTTGTGGTTTGCATATTGCATAAGTGTATGGTGTTCAATTAATTGAGCAGCATATGTTAATTATGGTAATTCTTTAATACTAAGAATCTGTGTAGATAAAAATTATGAGTGTTTTTAAAAACTTCTTTATTGAAATAAAGAGTATTTTTTATGGAGAGGTTCTTAAAATTATATATAAATTTGTATCTGAAGATACTCTAAATGTGATTCTTAGATATAAAAAAAATGTCAAATTTTAACTTTGTTTTGGAGACAATTTTGTGTTTGTTGAGATTTTTGGGATATATATAATTACTGGGTTTGGCCTTTTTCTTTTATGTCTTGTGTTATCAGTTATCAGGTGGCAGCATGTACACGTTGATTACTACATATAAATATGCCAACCTGTATGGTGCATAATTAAGTATTATTTTCCATTATTTAAAAAGGTTGTACATATGTTTGGTCATTCTTCACGTATTTATATATATATAGGTAATAAGATTAAGTATCTTTAGGTATAGTAGGTGCTTATATATTTTAGGGTGAAGTCTCTGATAGTGAAGTTTAGTAAGTGGTCCATGGATGGTGCATTTAAAATCACCATAGATATAATATTAAAAACAATGAATGGTTGAGATTGTGATTTAGTGAGAAGATATATTGTACACCTTCACACACCGGATAAAATTTCTGAATATTTTACTGGATTTTTTTTTTATTTTAAAATTACCTATAAAAAAAACACGTATTACGAAGCAGCTGTCACTTCCAGAACGGGCCGTTCTGAAACCAGAACGGCCCGTTCTAGATGAAAAAATAACACAGGAATAATGCACCAGAACGGGCCGTTCTAGAAGGAAAAAAAACACGTGATAAACTACACCAGAACGGGCCGTTCTGAAATCTGAACGGCCCGTTCCAGATTTAAAAATAACATATGATTACTTAAACCAGAACGGGCCGTTCTGAATTCGGAACGGCCCGTTCTGGCTACATATTTGTTTTTTTTTTTTT